ACAACACATATTTTTCCCACCGCAGAGAGTTTAAGTCTTTATTTTATGCTTGATTTGATTGTCTTATTATTTTAGACATTATAAACTATTTATAAAGTTTTATCCTTGTTTCATATTCTAAGCTGTGCAGCACTTTGAGCTGCATTCAATGCACAAAAGTTGCTATACAAATAAAAAATTTTTTTATTATTATTTAAAAACATTATTATTATTATTATTATTATTATCATTAGCAGTAGTAGTAGTAGTATAAAAATATTTAATTCATTTGACGGTCAGATAAATTTATGTTTGTTCGTTTCTAATTTTAAGGGAATGAAATGTTGTTTTAAGGAGACTTTATTTAGGTCTAAATGAGTCTACTCCACCACGCTACTGTTATAAGCATGAGCCCCGTCAGACTGGCACACTTCATTTCCAGCGATACCGTTGACTTGATTGCAAAGATACTATTTAAACTGAGCTGGATGTTGACATCACTGAATTCAATGATGAACTGTCTTTAACTGAAAAATTTGTGTTTACTATTGTCATTTTGCATTATTGACACTATTTTCCTAATTAATGCTGTTCAGTTGCTTTGACACAATCTGTATTGTTAAAAGCGCTATATAAATAAAGGTGACTTGACTTGACTTGACTTTAAATAAGGTTTTTGCCTGATTTTCTTGCTTGTTAGTGCATTTATTTCATATTGTGCAAAAATAAACTAAAAACGGTAACACTTTAGTTTAAGGAGCAATTCTCTTCTGCTTATTAGAAACACACACACTGTTCAGTATTGCGTTGAGGACGCGGCTGACGATGGCAAGCCAGTGAACACACATATAAAAGCACAATTTCAACAAACAAGGCAAGGCGAGTTTATTTATATAGCACATTTCGTACACAATGGTAATTCAAAGTGCTTTACATAAAATAAAGTAAAATAATCGTAAAAAATAATCACAACAATAAAACAAGGAATTTACAAACTTTTAAAATGATTTAAAAATTGATTTAAATTTAAAATGGACGGTTAAAAATAGAAAATGATTATACATAAAATACAGTGCAATCAGTTCAGACATCGCACATCGCACATTCAATAAATGCACAGCTAAACAGATGAGTTTTGAGTCTGCATTTA